AGTCGGCGAACTGGGTCGGGAGCCCTGCTAGCGCGCTCTCTGGTCCCTCCCTTCGCCCGCCCCCGCCCCAACGCCCTCCTTCCCCAGTGGGGACGTGGTTGTTTCAGCCCGAATCCAATTACAGCCCAGAGCTGGCGAAGGGAAAAAGGAACAACCCCAAGTTGTCTCTCTGTGGTGCACGCTGCCATCTGCAGGGGCAGAGGCCGCGGCGGGAGCAAGGGAACCGGGACGGGATGTGGGCGGCTTTCTCCTCCCCAGCACATTTCGGGTGGCCGGATTGCCTCACCTCCGGGTGGGAACTATGGGGAGGTCAGCAGAAGCTCCGGGCTGCCATGGGAGGAGGGGTGAAGGGGATTCTCTTCCATGGGACTTGAATGGGGACAGTTTGTAACAAGTTAGGGGGTTGGTGGGCAGCTGGTACGTGGGCCTCTACCAAATTGAAACTTTTGTCCTTTATTCTTGCCCACCGCCTCTCTTCCTCCCTGTCCTTCCCCAAAAGGAAAGAAAACACCCAGCTAGTCAACATCAAGTCCCCAAACCACCCGGGGTCAGATTTGCCCTGTAGAAAGACAATCGTGCCCCCCTTTTATTGTCCTGTACAGTCCCGCCGCTCGCTCCAGGAATGAAGAGACTGGCCGGCCGGGGCGAGACACACGAAGATCTGTGAAACTGTTGTACTGGCTGTGGGGCTCTGAGGTTTGGGTGTGTTTTTCTAAGCCTCTGGCTTGGGAAAGGGGTCAAGTCATACCTTACAGAGCAAAACTGGAAAAGCGCTCCATCAGGGATAGAGACTAGACAGCGAGAACAAAAGGTGGAGGTATTAGGGGGTAAGGGGAGGGTGACGCCAGCGGCCTGTGGGGGAAAGGAGACAGATTAGAAGTCGAGGAGAGAGCTGGAAAAGCAGCACAACGGAAGCAGGAAGAGTGTGGGAGACGGAAAACTCCATCCTCAGCGAAATCCAAGATCCCAGAATTGTAGTTGGTCAGGGAGAGAGGAAGGGGGCAGTGCAGGGAGAAAGGCGGCATGGAAGAAATCAGAGGCGGTACAGAAATGAGGTCAGACCAGAAGGCCCAGAAAGCCTGGGGACCCGGGAGTCACACACGTCTGTTGGAATCCGTGAGCAATAATAGGAGGCTCTCCAGGTCCTGGGCAAGCACCCCACAGACTATTGGAGGGGTCAGGTGGGTTGGCTCCTCTCGAACTCACCTCTGAAATGGTCAGGAACCTGAAGACCTCAGGACCCCGCTCAACCAGCCCATGCAGGAGCAAAGCCTGGTTCTTCTCTTGTCCGCCTTCCACTGGCTTATCCTCCTGCATTATGCACCTGAACTTGAGGAAGACTGTGCCCGTTTCTCACCGAGAAACGATCTGTTTTTCACCAAATCATTTAGTGATTATTTATTTGCATATCATCTGAGCTTGAGTACCTGGCTAACGCCAGGGGGGTACTGCTGCCCTCTTCTCCCATGTCCTACTCTTACTAGGTGGGTTCTGGCCTGAACCCAGGTGCTCCCCTCCCAACCAAATCCATTGCAGTGGGGTTGACTGCAACTCAGAGACCCCAGCGAGCGTTTCTGAGGCTGCCAATCTGTCCGCAGAGAAAACATCATCTCTCTTTGCGATTGGTCAGCAGTACGATGCTTACCCTAGGGTGCCACCAGGGACAGACAACCACATTTACTGCCTTCGAGTCGATTCCCACTCAAGAGTGACAGGGTAGAATGGCCCCCGTGGGTTTCTGAGACTGTACCGCTTTATAGGAGTAGAAAGCCTTGTCTTTCTCTCTTGGGGTGGCTCTTGGATTTGAACTGCTGACCTGGAGCATCACAGCCCAATGAGCAACATGCTCCAGAGCAAAGGAGGGGTGAAAACCCTGAGTCAG